CTAATCAAAAAATGCAATGCAAACTTTGCAAAATTTGGCATTAATTTTGGAAAAAATATTTGACGTCTAAAAAAATATGAACTAAAACAATATGAAATAAAATTTAGAATAAAATTATTTATGCACAAATTTTATCAATTATAGCAATATTTTATTACAATTTTTTATAAAAAGAATCAAAAACTAGTAATTGTTGTTATTTTGGTATTTTTTTCAAAGAAGCAATGATATTCCAATATAAAAATTTGCTAAATATTTTCAAATATCAGTAATTTTATTTGGAAGATCTGATATCAGAGATTAAAAGTTATCTCTTATCAACAATCAAGCATTGTATTATGAATTTTCATAGTAGAAATTTGTCAAATACACTCATTTATTTAATAACATAATTTTTAATTGTGTTTATTTAAGTGCGTTTATTTTTGCATGTGTATTTACTGAGTGCTTGTTTGATCGAGAAATGATTAGAATTTAAAAGTTTGTTTTTATTTCTTTGTTACGAATTTTAGTGCAAGTTAATTTTATTGACCACTTACAAACGTGTAAAAATTTGCTTTTACGAATAAAAGCATTGAATTGAATACGTTTTTTAAATCTAATTTAGTCTTTTTTTCCAAAAATAATATAGCTTGTAACAAAAGCTTCTGCTCTTTTCATAGCCTAAAATTATGGGTCAAAGCATCTTTTGGTTGCAAAAATTTAATTTCATTACCACAATGATAAAAGCAATTATAATTATAAAAATTACTATTTATATTAATAATCACTATTACTATTATCATTATTATTATTATTATTATTATTAAATATTATTATTAATTATTATTATCAATTATTGTCATTAGGAGCATATTTACAAGCAGGATAGCAGCATTCATCCTCAATTCCAGTTTTCATATCAGAAAGCTGCTTGCTTTCAACATTGTTGCTTGTCGCCTTCAAATAGCACAACAACACAAACAGCAACAAGTAGCATCTTTTTTTCTATCGATGTCATATTTGAATTCGTAAAATTTTCCATCAAAATTTCATTTTTTCAAATATGTACTTCACATATGTTTGCTAAAGTTTTGTTATCAATTCTTTTTTATACATTTAACATACTGTAATTACGCTAATGTTTATTCACAACCAAAGATTAATAATTTGCATTTTTCAAAGGTAGACATGAGGTATATTTGTTATTATTATTATTACTACTGTTCCTGTCATTTATTCTGGCTGATAATTTTGTTACTTTCAATGCAAATATCACAAGGAATTATATTATTAAACACATCATTACCAGTAATTCCTGGAATGGATGTAATGAGTTCGAGCAAATATCCTCATATAGGAATTATTGAACGGGTATCTCGTACCGAATTTACTTGGTACCATCATCGACATCGACGTCAAGTAATCGTTGGGCCTATATTTGAATGGAATTCCATTGAAATTCCATACTTTATATGGGGTGGCGACTGTAAGTATTATTTCTTTCTTTTATTAATAATATTTGCATAAAAAATATTTTTTGCTACCAAAAGCAATCCTACAATTATGACAATTGACTGCAAGTATTTCTTTACAACAATTAATTCTACTTAATTTATCAAAAATATTGTCATTATTATCATCATTTACTACTTATCAGCATTGTGATCACTAAAATTTTATTTTTGTTAGTTTGACTTGTTTGTTACACACTATTTATGTCTCTTTTCAACTTTTTTCATGTATTTTTGTATGATACTGATCTTATTCATAATTAAGAATAATAATAATAACAATAATAATAATAACAATAATAATAATAATAACAATGGTGTGAGTATGAGTATAAATAAGAATATTAATATTAGTATTTTTGTGATTGTGAAGGATAAATATAAGAAAATAATTATTTACTGAAAGATTAACAAATTTTCTGCTTATTTAAATTATAAATGTCTGTGTATGACCCTGTAGATAGGTTGTCGGATGAAACAGGTAAAGATCTATCTATGTATCTGTTTATCTAATGCATGAAATGAGAAGGCAAAATTACTACCAAAACAGGTTTTGAATCAATGAATTAGCTCACAGTTTTGTTATTGCATTTCGTAGCAAAAACTTTTTTCCTTTCAATTTTTGAAATCAAATTTATTTTACTAATACCTCTGAACTTCGACAAAGTCTACTTTGTTTTACTTAATAAATGGTAGTTTGACTAATTTTGGTAGTTACTTTGCAGTAAAAAATATTTTGACTTAATTTTATGCTAAATGTAAAATTGTTTTAAAAATGACAAAAAATACAATTACATTTCTGTTTTCCCAATTTTGGTCTGAAATTATTTTACAAAAATTTTCAAACACTAAAACTTTTGCCTTATTAATTTGCAACGATTTACTGCTTTCAAAAAACAAAAAAAATTAAAAATTGAAAACTTAAAATGAAATCTGTTATTTGAATCTTCAATTGCAAACAACAAAGTTGTTGATATCTTTCTTAAAGTTTTTAAATCATTTTAATGATTTGAATTTAACAGCAAAATTTTATTTTCAATGTAATTCTTGTTTAATCAATCCATGGCTCCTTATATATTGACATTGCAAATAAACTTTATTAATATTTCTCTCTCCTCAATCATAATTTAGTATGAACAATGCTTTCAGAGGTCAAAGTTAAAGTAAAAATGTCCTACTGACCTGAAAAATGAACAAAATATATTTTTATCAAGTCCAGAAATTTTGAAATTTATTAATTATTCTATTTTACAGTGAACTTTTCGTTTGTTTGGAGAAAAGGAAAATATGCAAATTATTAAAGTATTATTTGGAATATTTGCATTGCAGTTGTTCCATATATTTCTCTTTCAAGTTAAATACAAAATTTTGGCAATTAAAATCAACCAAATCAATGAATATATCATTGTTTTCAATTTGATTATAAATAAGAATTATTTTTGACATCAACGAATGATTATTGAAAAAAATTAACTTAATTAACATAATTAACTCTATTGGTAATTTAGAAAAAAATTGTGCAAATTCATGAAAAAAGGTAAGAGTGTTCTGTCATACAAATTAATTTCAGTACTTTGTTTTGAGGGATGATATTTTTCACTTCTCATAGCTATTTGTAACAAAAAATTAAATTAGATTAAACTGAAAAAACGAAAATTGATTAAAAAATTGATTAAATCAATTTTTTAGTGATTAAATCAGTCCATAAAAAAGCTTTGAATTTTGTGTTTTAAAAAAAATTTTGAATTTTTGTGTTTAAAATCGATCTGATTTATTTCAAAAAGTTTTCTCGAATTATTACGAATTGATCATTAAAGTGTGATTGATTAAATATAAATTTTAGAAAATTTTTAATCGTTTAATTTTTTGAATTGCTTAATATTTCATTACAATACTTCAGAAAATGTCTAAATGAGTTTTATTAGTAAGCAGTTAACTAATTAAAAAAATAAAAAACACAAAAATTCAAAATTTTTTGAAAATTAAAATTGAGACCTAATTAAAAGCAAACATATGCATGCTTTAAATATCATAATAGTGATGATAAAACAGTTCTATTTAAATTATCTTAAAAGTTTAAAAAGTATTGAAAATATTTCAAAAATTTGCAAATTATTATTTATTTAATTGTAAATAAAACATGTTTTTAAATTATTTACTAATTTTTAATTAATTACAGTCTTTTAAATTTTGTTTTCAAATAATTTGTTTGGAATGCAACTTTTTATCTGAAAAACTTACAAATATTTTTTAAATAAAAGTTAAAAATTAGTTCGACAAATTTTATTGTTAGTCAAAAATGTTTATTAAATTTAAAAGCTTACAAAAATTGAGTAAATATAATTAAATCTTTTTATTTTTGATAAGTTTATCGCAGAAATTTGCTTTTTTTTTTTTGCAATACTATACTGGTCATTTTTGTACGTAGAGTCAAGCAGATTTTCGTCCTTTGACAGTCTTATAAATTTTATTATTGCTAATTGCATTTTAAACCAAAAATTAGCATAAACTGATCGTTTGCAATTTTTTTCTTCCATTCATTTATTTAATTAAATTATTCTCTAATTCATCTAATTGCGTAAAGATTGAAATTCAAAAATTTACTTTGAAATCAAGCAAAAATGAGATAGGATAGAAGTTTGAGAATTGTAATGCAGAAAGTTGCCATTTTACTTGTTTTCAAACGTGTTATGTTTTAAAGTTTAAAATGCTTTCTTTTTTATTTCTGAGAAGTTTGTTATTGTAAAATTGAATTGTCAAACGCGTTATTATTAGTAAAATGTCAAATTTAGTTACTAATTGACTGATTTTTTTTGTTGATAATTTATATAAAAATTAACAAAAATGTAATTTGCGCCTAATTATTTGGCTGACATTTGTGATATAATCATATCGCATAATTTTTAGTCACAACAATTACTGATAACATGATTATTTTCAGATGCTTTCCGAAATTTAATCCGCCGGGGCATTCATTTTTGGGAAGAAGCCACATGCTTAAGATTTAGAGAAAATGTACAAGCAAGAGACGCAATCAGGTAAAATTTCAATTTTTGAATCTAATTTTGTTAAAATTTTAATCACTTTACTTGATCAATATCACTATCATTAAAATCAGTTACCTTATTTCAGATATTAAATTTATCCATCTATTTAAGTCACTATTTTTATTTTTCGTGTAAAATTTGAAAATTAAAGTATTAAAAGTGTCAGCAATTAATTAATGAAAATAAATGCTTTGTTGTGTATTTTTGTGTATTTAGTAAAATAAAGCATGTATGTAATATATTGAGATATTAATGGCTTTCTAGCACTGTTTGTAAAAACTTGTTACAAAGTCACTAAAATGTAAAAATTGATTTATTGAAAATATATTTTCATTAACAGTTCGTAGCTTTCATTACTTTCCATGTTTTCTTTTCAACTTTTATAAGATCAAATTATTCTTTACTTTCTAATTTAGTGTTTCGTTGATAATTTGTGCTGAAAACAGCTAAAAGTTAAAAATTACTCAGTGATAATTGAGATGAATACTTTTTATGAGACTATAGAAAATACAGAATTATGCCTATATGTTGATTTTAATTTGTCATAACTGTTTATATGTTAATTGTTAATTTACAGTTGTCACATTAAAGGTACGTGTTAGAACGAGGAGACAGCTGTTTTACAGAGTTCATAGGACGAAACGGTGGATTTCAAGATATTATTATTGGCAGCGAATGTGCTGAGGTATTAACCTTTTGCAGAAATAAACCTTAAGTGACCTTTTATGCATTGCATACAAATAAGTATTACTTTTTCAAACACTAGCAGATATCACTTTATTATTCCAAAATTATTATGTAAAGTATATAAATCTATAAAAACGTATTTCATCTTGAGTTTGATTCAAATTTCTACGCATATGCAAATTTAAACTCCCGAATAAATTTAAATTTTTGCCTCTCACATGATATATAATTACTGAAAATTATACGTAATGAAGCAGTGCTCGTGTAAACTTGCGTATGTTTCAAAGTTATGAATCTCTATTTCTTACTGCGCTATTTATTAACGCAATTCAATAATAACTAAAATTCAAAAAAGTTAACCTTATTGAAGTTACTGTATGAACCCAAAGTTATTTATTATGTAATCTGTAAATGTAGTGAATTTTATTTTAGTATATCTAGTAATTTTGCATGCTTAAAAAACTGCAGTTTACTGAAAATGTTGTTATGTATATAAAGTCCATGAACAAAAATTTGTTTGCTTTTTGAATGAGCATATTAAAATATAATTTAATTCCTGACTATATAGCTGATGATATTTACTTTTATGTGTTTATAAATATGTTAATAATTTATTCATTAGTTCATTCACTCATTTTGTTCATTCTTATTTTCAACTTTGACACTAAAATTAATAAACATTAGAGACTTTTACACATCCAAAGCAATAAGATTATTTTTAATGTCAGTTTAGGACAAAATTGACCACTTTGCATTTTTAAGTTTTCAGTTCATTCACAATTACATAATGAAAAATCAGTCATTTATCAGCTGAAAATTTAATTCTCAAACACGGGAGCAAAAAAAATTTATAAACTATGAACAGTCTGCAGTGGCATATATTTTTTTGCTACCAAAAAGCAGAATATCTTATCATTTCATTAATATTATAAAACTACTTAAAAAATCAAAATATTGCTCAAGTTTCACTTCGTAATCAAAACAAAAGTGTAATTCTAGGAATATGTTGTGGCACACGAAACAGGACATGCTCTTGGATTCTGGCATACGCATCAAAGACCAGATCGGGATCAGTTTATCTCAAT